GGGGGGGGGGGGCTGCGTGTATAAGTGAGACCTTATTTTTCTGTTGTGAGAAAATTTGTCCACATTAAATGATGATGTGCAGGCTACCTTTTTCGAGCTACTCGAAGTTTTAAACCTCGACCGCAACGCTCTTTAGAATTTGTATGTCACAAAGGTCTTTGGCGACGCAGATTGTTATCCCATGTGATGACTTCGACCTTGCAGATGAAATTTTAAAAAACAAACAAACCCAAAATTAATGTTTTTAGGCACACGTGGACACAATTTAGTTAATTTAAGTGGCAGATTTCAACCCAACTTGTTAGGGCCAACACGGGTAGAGACGGATATAACATCCCAGCAGAAAGACAGATATACTTCAGTAGAATTCGGCAAATGGAAATCGAACTCAGGTCTTCTGCGAATGACGGCGATACGTATAACTGCTACACCACAGGTGTCTTGTCAAAATCGCCGGTGACACACGATTGGTTTAGGTGAAGATGACCGTTTTCTTGTAGTAATTTGCAAAGACAAAAAGCATCCTAATTATGTGATATTTCGTTTGTTTGGTGATTCCTTGTAGCATTGTTGTCTTTAATGCAGCCTCGTGTAAACCTGAAGCGCATGGTCTCAGACTAAGAGTAATGATTACTGAATGATCTCAAGTCGTGGGGGTAGAAAACGTCAACCATAAGTCATAGCGAAAAACCAGCCAGTTCAACCATAGTTGCATAATCTAAATCCAACAATTGTTATAAGATTTGAGGTAAAAATGTCCTCAAGCAAGATTACCACCTACGTGTTGCAATCGAAATTTTAGCCTGTTGGAAGTTAGAATATAAGTTCTCACTAACAGAATCACAACAAATATTTTAGTTGCCTGTAACCTTTAATGTGGTACATCCAACAAGATCAGTGTGTTTTTTTGGACATTTGCAAGTCGCAGCCATCTGGGATCAGAAGGTGCGGCGCGAGCCAAGAGGGGCATTGTCTGTGGGCTCTGATTGGTCAGTAGAACAGATCTTGGTTGTCTCGAGGGTGCTGGCAGTCTGTGTGTTTGAAAAAAAGGAGGGGGGAAGCTCTCGGAGAGACTAGATACATACTTAATGACCATACTATTACGCAAAGGGGTTTTCGTTGGGTCTGAAAAGTGTAAAATAGTATCAGTCCAAACTTTGTGTGGGACCGTTTACTTGCGTAAAATGAAGGTAGTGTAGGTTGGGGGTACTTACGTTTTAACCTGAAAGGTTTTTTCTATAAATAATAACACTATGTGAGTCACGTTCTTTAAGAGTTAATTAACACCGAGTGAATTCTTATTTTGTAAACATCAGACAAACTTGGTCTTAGATATGAGATAAGTGTTTACCATTACAATGAGATAATAATATTCTTTGGGCCAGTTAAGCATGGTTATTTGACGGCGCCAATACATGTTTCTTGGCCTATATATTTTTAAATCTCGAGACTGTTCGCCATTCAGACTAAATAAATAAAATCCTGCATCAAAACAATTACTCCCATGATAATAATATGAGGGTACTCTAAGCGCTGTTGACAGATCTTCTTCTTACTTCAAGTACGAGATCTGAAACAGACCTTAGAAATCATGGCTAGCCACTCATATCTCAAATCGGATGTTCTCAGAATTTTTTTTTCTGCAACCCCCTTTTTTGAAGTTCCTGAAATAAATAATATTTCAAGTTCTTTAAGTATATAATATTATAGTACTGAGCTCGCGATATACACTACAGTAGGGAAAAAATCTGACCAGTCTTGTTGTCTGTTGTCCTCAGAGTCTACGCCAACGGTCTGCCAGCCGAGCAGGTTGCAAGGTATTTTTGTGTTTTTACGCCTATCCATCCATCCATTCATCAGTCCATCCATCTATCAGACTATCCATACATGAATCGATCCATGCATGAATCCATCCATCCATCAACTCATCCATTCATTTGCGAACTCCGCCACCTTCCCATTCATCCGGATCCATCAACCCATCATTGAATTCAACCATGCGGCCATCCAACCATTCTTTTCATCTGCCCCTGTAATGATTCCTCATTTATATCTATCCATCACACCATCACACCCATTTCCACGCAGATTGTGAGATCACGATAGGTACCTCTGAAAACAAAGAAAGAAAGATAAAAGAAGTATTTTTAAAAAACTATCAAGCATTATTTTATCTTATCTTATCTTTTCCATCCTTTGGTTCATTCATGCACCCTTTCATCCACCCACATCTACTGACTTACCTTTTCATTTACGTAATGATACCTTTCGCAACGTTTAATTTTCTACGTCTCACTCATAATAATGCTCTATCTTTCCTTTTCTCTCCTTTCTCCTCTGTCTCTCCTCTCTCTGTCTCTCTCTCTCTCTCTCTCTCTCTCTCTCTCTCTCTCTCTCTCTCTCTCTCTCTCTTTTCTCTTCTCTCTCAATATTTATTTCACTTTTCTGTCTTCCTTTCTCATTCTCATCCCTCTCTTCATCTCTTACAAATCTCCCTCACTCATATCTCCTTCTTTCTCTTTCAGAATCCTGGACTCCAAAGCCAAAGGTTTCCCCAAAGGCTCCCTCGTCCTCGCCCACGTTGGCTGGAGAAGCCACGCCATCATCAACGTCAAAGAGCCCATGACCTTGGGATTCCTACCCGAGATCGTGCCAGAAATAGCTGGACTCTCTCCTTCCCTGTGGCTCGGAATCATCGGCATGCCCGGGTAAGTGCTCACTTGTGTCTGAACAAAGCATCTGAACAGTATCCCCACACCCCAACCTATCTTATTTCAAGAAGTTTCCCGAAATATCTGGATGCCTAGAAGTTTGTTGTTTTTGTTGTTGTTGTTGTTGTTTTTGTTGTTGTTGTTGTTGTTGTTGTTGTTGTTGTATATGTGTGTGTGGTAGCCTATCCGTTCGAAATGTTTGGAGCCCCGAAGAGCGTGCTCTTCGCTAGGGCCACCGCCTCTCTTGGGTAGCGGGTGACGCAGTCCAACCTCCCTGAATCCTTCCCGAAGAGATGGCACCGCCTGATGTTGTTGTTGTTGTTGTTGTTGTTGTTGTTGTTGCTGTTGTTGCTGTTGTTGTTGTTGCTGTTGTTGCTGTTGTTGTTGTTGTTGTTGTTGTTGTTGTTGTGGTTGTTATTAGCGATTCAGTGGCATCTGAGCGTTAACTCTTCTGCACGATGCCATTTTGTAATAGCTGCATGTCTGTTTTAATTGTTGTCTTGACGAGTAGAGTTAGTTAGATATGTGGGGTAGCTTGGGAAGAAAACATCCCCTCAGATCAGTTAGTTTTCAACAGAAGAACAGATGATGCTGTTCCGCTGTCTCTGACGGGTAGTCACATAGTGGGCAGGCAGCAGACTGCTTTACTCCAATTCGGTTGAGATGTTGATTGAAGGGCACATGTTGTGTTCTAAGTTGGAAGATTATGGATTGATCTCCCCTCCTCAACTCATTGATTGGATCTTTGACCAGTGGTTTATTCATGGGGCCTTACATCATCTTTTCTGTCATACTAGAGGTTACATCTCTGACGTAGAGGTTGTCGTTCAATGACTCGCCATTGCTTGCGGTCGCTAGCTGCCGTCATATTCTCTGTTATACTTAGGCCAGTCCATTTCTTGATGTCGCGGGTCCACATTGTTCGTTGTCTATACATTGTCCTTGTCTCAAGTCCTGCCTTCGAGTATCTCCTTCGCAATGGTCTGGTGGCGTTTTATACGACCAAGCGGTGCATCTGACACACCTCATTATTTTTCTTTTTCGCTTTCCAACCTAATTCTGGACACTCTGTGGCAGCACCACATCTCAAACGCGGGTATTTTGTCTTCTTCTGCCTTCGTTAAAGTTAAAGTCCGGGTCTCAGCGTCCGACAGAAAAATGGGAAAGATGTAGCACTCTGAAGAGAAGACACCAAACGCAGAATATTTCGCCCACTCACATAATATGGTGACGTCATGTATTTATATATCTCTATCTGCATCTCTGGTGTCATCCATTTATTTCATTTAGTAGGAGTTTTACTCGCAACACAACTAGGTCATACAAGTACCCGAAGAGTAGAGGTGTTACTAGGGGGCAACATTTGAAGAAAAAGAGGAGGATGACAGATGTCTGATATAAAAGAAGAAGTAAACCACAGCTTAGTACCCGCCATATTTATCTTCCACTCCATTTCTTTCGAAGTATGTTTGTTTGCCTAACGCAATGGAAGCACACAGATACACTAACGGTCATAACTTGGTGCTAGGAACGAGAACGAGGAAGAAGAAGAAGAAGGAGAACGAGGAGGAAGAAGAAGAAGGAGAACGAGGAAGAAGAAGAAGAACGAGAACGAGGAAGAAGAAGAAGAAGACCGAGAACGAGGAAGAAGAAGAAGAAGAACGAGAACGAGGAAGAAGAAGAAGAACGAGAACGAGGAAGAAGAAGAAGAAGGAGAACGAGGAAGAAGAAGAAGAAGGAGAACGAGGAAGGTGCTGGGTAATGGTTAGACGGACAGACAGAAACACGAGATGGAACGACAAAAAGTTAGACTTACACATGACGTCCTCCAAACACACGATCGAAATCTGTGTAGTGCCACATTTATCTTTTAACCTGTGACATCATTAATAAAGAAATAACTAAAAGACTCGATTTCCATGACCTGTGACTCAATTTCCCTGACTTGAGGAGACGTTACCCACGCATCCTCTGACATCATTCGAACATCCACTGACCGGAAGAACGTAATATCTCCCACAGAGTGACCGCCTACATGGCCTTTCTTGAGGAGTGCAACCCCAAACCTGGTGAGGTAGTTGTGGTCAGCGCAGCGTCTGGTGCCGTGGGCAGTGTGGTGGGACAGCTGGCCCGTGATAAGGTAGGTTGAGAGTTCGGTTCTTCGTTTAAATATCTTTCAGATAGCTTTTAGAATGTTCTAAGACCAGTTGCAAATTTCTTTTTTTCAGGAGACAGGGAAAGTAATTCCATTAAAAAAACAACGAAACAATTTTACTAATATTATGTATCTGTTCTTGCCTTTTTCAATATTTGATATTTACTTTTGTTCGACAAAATGATAATATTAATATTTCTCGAGCACTTACAAGCAATACCACAGATATACCCGAAAGGAATAAAAATGTAAGGCTTAGTACAACTTGTCAGCTGGTTGACGATCTTTCACACATCAGTTAAGTTATTCATGCATTTCCATGTGTGCGAGAATAACACTACTTTTTATGCCCTTATAATTTGCATAATATTCAGGGCTGCACAGTGATTGGCTCGGCCGGCTCCAAGGAGAAATGTGATTGGCTGAAGTCACTAGGTTTCCACCACGTCTTCAACTACAAGGAAACTGCGCCGGAAGTAGCTATGAAGCAGTATGCTCCAGATGGAGTTGATATCTACTACGACAACGTGAGTACTTGTGTGTGTGTGTGTGTATGTGTGTGTGTGTGTGGGGTGTGTGTGTGTGTGTGTGTGTGTGTGTGTGTGTGTGTGTGTGTGTGTGTGTGTGTGTGTGCTTGTGTTTGTATTTAATTTTTAATGCAGGGCAGAAGTTAATGGACAGTTCATGTTGATGGCCGACATACAGACAAGGGGTGAGAAAGAATGTTGATGATGATGATGAAAATGATAATTTTTTTTTGTTTCCGTAATAGGCCTGGCGGACTCAACGAAGAAATCTTCGAGCGAGTGCGAGGCTCTTTTTCGGCTCCATTGTCATTATACTTAAAGGCACCTCCACTCGTCCAAATAACTCCGATCTAAGTGCCATTGTTCCTGGACATTCAAACATAATGTTTGATATCCTCCTTTTCATGGCCCCATCTTCAGCAACATGGGCTGAGCTCTTCATTTACAAAGTTCTTATACCATGATGATGATGATGATGATGGTGATGATGGTGATGATGATGATGATGATGATGATGATGATGATGATGATGAATTTAACTTGTTTTTCCAACAGGTGGGAGGAGACCTCAGGGAAGCTGTATTCAACAACATGCGAAGGAAAGCCCGAGTGCTCATCTGTGGTCAGATCTCTGTCTACAACAAGAATAATGACACGGGTACGATCAAGTCGGAGTTTCTGTTATGTTGTCGTTATTGAGGTTGTTGTTTCTGTTGCTGTTATTGTTGTTGCTGTTATTGTTGTTGCTGTTATTGTTGTTGCTGTTATTGTTGTTGGTGTTGATGCTGTTCTTTGGGTTGGTGTTTTTGCTAATCTTGGTACTATTGTTGTTGTTGTTGTTGTTTTTTGTTGTTGTTGGCGGTGATGTTTATGTTGTTGCTATTGGTGCTGTTACTGTGTTGGTGTTGGCGTTGTTGGTATTAATATTGGAGGTCTTATATTGTCGTTACTACTGTTATTGATTTTACTTTTGATGAAGCTGTAAAAACAAGCTTCGTTGATTGGTGACTTTCTGCAGGACTAAGTTTATCATGTACTTTTTTGGGGGTCTTGTTTCATTAAAATGTCTAGGTCATGTAACAAACTAAAAAGTGGTTGGTCAGTGTGTGCTGTGATGTCGTCTGCTCCTTCTTTCCTATCAAATATCTATATTTTCCCTATCTCTTCTCTCTCTCTCTCTCTCTCTCTCTCTCTCTCTCTCTCTCTCTCTCTCTTTTCCTTTGTATATTACTCTCTAGTAACTCCTCCAATCGTTTCATATATATCTCTCTCTCTCTTTTCCTTTGTATATTACTCTCTAGTAACTCCTCCAATCGTTTCATATATATCTCTCTCTCTCTTTTCCTTTGTATATTACTCTC